CCCAGCAGCACTCGCCGCAGCCGTGGGCTCGTCTCCCGCCTGGTTGGCCCGGCACCTCCGGAGGCGGTGGCCGTGGTGGCGGCCCGCGCAGCTTGGCGTCTACCAGCGGCTCCAGTGCTGTGACCTGCCAGTACCAGCTTCAGACCGGGCCTCTCCGCGGCACTCTGTGCCGCCGCCCGCACCCGACCGCCCGCTGTTTCCGCCGCCTCGACGATCTTTTTCGTCGTCGCTTTGGCCCGGCCCCGGACCTCCCTGACTGGCACAGCCTGCTCCGCCAAGGCGTGCCGATCTTTGAGTTAGACATGGATCAGATAGGTGCTGCTTTGCATGCTTTGTATGCTGACGCTTCTAGTGTTGCTGGATCTTACTACCCTGTGTACTCTAGTTTAGGTGTTTCACCCTTGTGTAGCTTAGCTTCCCCTGCTGCGTCAGGCGTAGGACTGCCTAGGTTGCCTAGCCTAGCTTCTGCACCGGCCCCGTCCCCGGCCTCTGCCACTGCCTCGCTGTCCTTCACGCTCGACTCCGGTGCTTCTGCCTGTTTCTTGCGTGACCGGTCCACGCTCACGCCGCTTGCTACACCTGCGGTTGTCTCCCTCGCTGACCCCTCTGCCCGTCCTGTCGTCGCTCGCAGTTCCACTTCCCTTCCCTGTCCAGCCGTTCCCTCGGGCTATCTTATAGGCTTCCACGTTCCTTCGTTCTCTAGGAACCTGGTTGGTGTCGGCCGTCTTCAGGACCTCGGCGTCACCACCACGTTCCCTGGGCACGAGCGGTTCGCTGTCTGTACCGAGGCAGTCTTAGGTTCCCCTCTCGCGACGTTCCCCCGGGACCCGGTGTCTGGTCTGTTTACCCTCGACACCGCTTCCCCCCCGGTTGGTGCGTCCTCCCAGGTCGCTGCAGCTTGCTCGTGTCGGTCCCTCACTCACCCGTCCCTTCTCTGGCACCATCGCTTAGGTCACCCTGCTCTCCCACGTCTGCGTCACATGTCTCAGCACGGTCTTGTCTTAGGCCTCCCCGCGTCGCTCCCTGCCCTCCCACCCTCGACTGCGCCACCGTGCACGCCTTCCGTCGAGGGCCGGCTCCGCCGTGCTCCTCACTCCTCCTCGCTGCGTCCTGCTACTGCCCCCCTTCAGACCCTGCACCTGGACGTTTGGGGCCCGGCCCCCGTCCCCGTACCGCGCGGTGAGCGCTACTTTCTTGTGCTCGTCGACGACTACACGCGCTACACCACGGTGTTTCCCCTGGAGCGGAAGGCCGACGTGCCCGACGTTCTTCTCCCGTGGGTTGTGGCTGCACGTCTTCACCGCGGTCTCCCTGTGTTGTGTCTCCACTCTGACCGTGGCGGTGAGTTCGCCTCTGGTCGGCTTGGACAGTTCTGTCGTGCGGAGGGCATCACCCAGTCGTACACCTTGCCGGACTCGCCACAGCAGAATGGGGTTGCTGAGCGCCGCATCGGTTTGGTCATGGAGGTGGCTCGTACCTCCATGATCCATGCCGATGCCCCCCATTTTCTGTGGCCGTTCGCTGTCCGCTACGCTGCTCACCAGCTTAACCTGTGGCCCCGCTCCCAGCGGCCGCAGGTTTCGCCGACCCTCCTTTGGATCGGATCCCCCGGTGACGCGTCTGCGTTCCACGTCTGGGGTTGCCTTGCTCACGTTCGTGCCTCTGGTACGGACAAGCTCACGGCCCGCACTGTCCCCTGTGTCTTCCTCGGTTTCCCCCTAGACTCGTCTGACTGGCTCTTCTACCACCCGCCGTCTCACCGCTTCCTCCACTCCCGTGACGTCATCTTTGACGAGTCTGTCTCCTTCTACCGTCGCTTCCCTCACCGAGGTCTCCCGGTTGCCCCGCCCCTCTTCCTTGCTCCCTCTCCCCCGGTAGCCCCTGCTCCTCTCCCGCCTCGTCCTGCCCCGTCTGGTGTCTCTCACGTCACTCCCCTCCCGTCGGTTGTCCCAGTTGAGGAGTCAGCTGACTCTGGTGGTCCCCCCGGCCCGTCCCTGCCGCGTCCCCCTTCCCCGGTGTCTCCGCCTTCCCTGCCGCTGCCACCGCCGCCACCGCCGCTGCCGCAGCCGCTGCAGCCGCCGTCGCCGCCGCCGCCGCTGCCGCCGTTGGCCCCTGGGGGTGCTGGCGTCGAGGAGGGTGTTCGTCCTGCCGCGGCTGGAGTGGTCTGTCCCGGCGGGCCTGGGGGTGCCGCTGGTGCTGGAGGGTGTTCTCGCTCTGGGGGTGTTAGTTCTGGGGGTGCTGCCGTTGAGAGTTCTGCCAGTCCGAGGGTCGAGGCCCAGCCGCCGCAGCAGCCCCAGCAGCCGTCGCCGCCGGTCTCCGCTCTCCGTCTGCTCGGCCTTCCCTCCCCTGACCGCTCGCCGGTGTCTCCCCCACCGCCTGCTGACCTTCCTGTCTACGGTCCTGTGTTCCCGCCGCCGGACTCGTCTCCGGCCCGTCTTCCTCCTCGTTTCCCTCCTGTGTCCCCTCCGCTGTCTCCTGACCCTACACCTCCGTCCCACGTTTGGTCTCGTCGTCCCTCACGTGCCCGTCCCGTCTCTCCTGTCCTGCCCTCCCACCCTATGTTGCTCCGTTCCCACTCGTCTCGTCCTCCCCTCCTCCCGTCACCTCCTCCCTCGTCGCTTGCTGTTGCACCTCCTCCGTTCTCTGACTACCTTCGTGCCGCTCGTCCCCTTGTCCCTCGGGTTCTTGCCTCTCTTGTTACCGACCCTTCTATTCCGGTCTCGCGCCTTGACGCGCTTGTCGCTGCTGTCGCTGACTTCGCCTCTACCCGCCGCCTTGACTACGCTAGCGCTCTGGTCTCTGACCCTGCCCGTCCTCCGTCCGTCGGGGGTGCTCCTGCCCTTGGCAGTGACGTCCTAGAGGACAGGCAGTACGAGCTTGCTTTCCTTTCCGAGGCTGCTCCCCATCTCTGCTCCATGCTGTTAGTCCCTGAGGGTGACCCAGACGCCTTCGACATCCCGACCCCTCGCACTTACGCTGAGGCCACCTCGGGACCTTGGGCCTCTCAGTGGATAGCTGCCATGGAGCAGGAGATGGCATCTTGGAGGTCCACCGGCACTTACGTCGACGCAGTTCCCCCGCCTGGGGTGAACGTAGTCGATGGTCGGTGGCTCTTCAAGGTGAAGCGCCCCCCTGGAGAGCCGCCTGTCTTCAAGGCGCGCTACGTGGCCAGAGGCTTCAGTCAGCGTGAGGGGGTTGACTTCTTTCAGACCTTCGCCCCGACCCCGAAGATGACCACTCTTCGGGCGCTGCTACACGTAGCAGCACAGCGCGACTACGAGCTTCACTCCCTCGACTTCTCTACTGCCTTTCTTCAGGGCAGCCTACACGAGCAGGTCTACCTGCGCCGACCACAGGGCTTCACTGGTACCTTCCCCCCTGGGACCCAGTGGCTTCTCAGGCGCCCGGTCTACGGCCTGCGTCAGGCTCCTCGTGATTGGCACGACACGCTGCGGGCCACGTTAGCAGACCTGCAGTTCTTTCCGTCCTCTGCTGACCCGTCGCTGTTTGTGCGTTCCGGCCAGACTCCGTTCTACATCCTTGTCTACGTAGACGACCTGGTCTTTGCTACTGCTGACAGGGATGCAGTGGCCTCTGTGAAGGCCGAGCTGCTGAAGAGACACACCTGCACTGACCTTGGAGAGCTGCGTCGCTATCTTGGCCTGCAGATCTCTAGGGACAGAGCAGCACGCACCATCACTCTGACACAGTCACACTTGGTGCGTCAGGTCCTTCAGAGGTTCGGTCTTCAGTTCTCCTCCGCACAGCCCACACCTCTTCCAGTAGACCATGGGCTCTCCGCTCCTGTTCCTGAGGAGCCAGTAGAGCCCAGTGGCCCCTATGCAGAGCTGGTGGGTTGCCTCATGTACTTGATGACTTGCACTCGCCCAGATCTTGCATACCGTCTCAGCATCCTGGCTCGCTTTGTGGCCAGTAGCAGACACCGACCTCAGCACTGGTCTACCGCTAAGAGGGTTTTGCGATATCTAGCAAGTACATCGGGCATGGGGTTAGTGCTAGGAGGACGCAGGCCAGTGGTCCTCACTGGGCACACAGACGCTTCTTGGGCAGACGACTCTGAGACTCTTAGGTCGTCTCAGGGCTAGTGTTTCAGCCTTGGTTCGGGTGCTATCTCTTGGAGATCCACTCGCTCGTCGTCTGTTGCTCAGTCCAGCTGTGAGGCTGAGATCTACGCTGGTGCCATGGCGGCACAGGAGCTCCGCTGGCTGACCTTCTTGCTCACAGACTTAGGTGAGCGGCCTAGTTCTGCCCCGGTCCTGTACGCTGACAACAGGGCCATGATTCTCCTGTGTCAGGAGCCTCGACTTGGGGGCCGGGCGAAGCATATCCAGCTGCGGTACTTCCTCCTGCGCGAGCTACAGCAGCCTCGCCAGGCCCGCGTCGTTCACTTGGCCTCCGGTGCCAACACAGCTGATATCTTTACTAAGGCGCTTGCGCCTAGAGATCATTAGCGGCACTGTGTACAGCTTGGTCTTGTTCCTGTAGCTTCTCACTTGTTAGGACCCTGATTGTGTACTCTCTACTATATATATACCTGTCTGACTGGCCTTGTGGCCTTACCTCCAGCGGCTGGACTAGTAGTGCCGCCCTGGTTGGTTTTAGTCTTGTTTGTACTCTTGTCTCCAGACCCATGTCTCAGTGGTTGGACTAGTAGTGCCACCCTGGGCTGTGTGCTTCTTGCTTAGCTCCACCCCTTGTCTAGCCTAGGGGGTGTGTCAACTTATACATATTATCTATGTAGAAGTTATAGGCTAGACTAGGTGTGTGCTTCTAGTGAGTACAACCAACTGGTATTTGTTCTATGTTTCTCTTCCTAGTAATTCATTCGTTTCTACGTTAACACGTACGACTTGAACAGTCCCGAACCATCACCAGGGTTCCAGACCTTTCAGTTTCGCTTCGACACCTCGAGGCCCTTCGATACCTTTCCCGAACCTTCCGATCCTACGTCCAGGATCACCCTAGGCTTTCTATATATTGTATTGTCTTTCATTTTATTGTCATTCACTCGTTCACAGTTTCGCCATTGCCCTCCGTGCTACTTGGCAGTCCCATTCATAACATGGTGGATACAAGCGGTTGCGGGGATTGAGCCTTTCAGCGTGGCTACTCCACCAGAGTCAGCATCAGGGGCAGGAATGCCGGCAAGACACCAACCGACGTAATCTCAGCATTGAGTAATGAGATGACTTGCCAGTCTTCCTGCCCTTGACTTGCTTAGGGGAGGCATTCATTCTCAGGGTTTCAAGCGTAGCTTTTGTGCCTGTGGAGCATCATCACATGTGAATCGCAGCCATTCCTTACTCAAGTTGTGCCTCAAAGCAGACTGGAAGGCCCCATGGAGGGATGATGCTAATCATTGGGAAGCAACAAGGAATTCAATCTCGCAACCTCCTTCACAATATCATCATGGTACTCCGCAAGTGCTGCATCGTACTCCCCATAGTCCGCCCGGCCATTCCCCTCACCATGCGAGCCCAGCCCTGGTAGCGCGTGGCGGTGCTGCGATCGCGGGATCGTGGCCAAGTCGCCGGGGTCCCCCTCGCCCACGCGCAGCTGCAGGCGCGCCACCTGCACGGCACACATGAAGAGCACAGCAGGCAGGGAGAGCACAGGGCCCTGTTGTGCATCCCCTCCCCACATGCGGACCCACCGATGGACTACGGCCCTGTTCGGCAACGCCCACTCTGAGTGAGCTAACTCCAAGTGGGGGAACCCCGAAGAGCTTTCATAGCCTCGGGTTCGCTCTCGGGATTGGGAAGTTCCGACACATTTTACGCTCAGGGATGCACGACTAGTATGGGCACCCCCACTCGGAGTGGAGTGGGCGCACTCCAGGGTTTAGGCAGGGAGGGGGTAGGGAGTGTGGTTTGGCCCAACTCCAAGCGGGGTTTGCTAGCGAGCGCATCCTCCCTGAAGGTTCGCACACCTCCACTCGGAGTGGGGTTCTCAAGCATTCCGCAGCACACTCAGAGTGGGGAGATTCGGTGTGCCACTATCGAATTCTGAAGCTTTAGGTGTCTTCTGTAACTCCCCTGAGGAATTTCCGAGAGCAATCCGCACTGGGAACAGGGGGCTTGCCGAAGTGGGCCTACATGTGGACACTTGCAGACGAGCGCCTGCCTCAGGTGCTCGCCAGCAGCACAACGGCGTGGCACCTGTAATGCATACCGCAGAACCAAATGGCACGGCAGCACTAATGCTCTCAGCACACGAGCTGACCACCCACCTCATACCCTACCCACCTCATACCCTACCCACCTCATACCCTACCCACCTCATACCCTACCCACCTCATACCCTACCCACCTGAAACACCTTCGCACCCACATGAAAGCGTAGCACCCACCTGAAACACCTTCGCACCCACATGAAAGCGTAGCACCCACCTGAAACACCTTCGCACCCACATGAAAGCGTAGCACCCACCTGAAACACCTTCGCACCCACATGAAAGCGTAGCACCCACCTGAAACACCTTCGCACCCACATGAAAGCATAGCACCCACCTGAAGCACCTGAGCATTCACCTGGTAGCCTGAGAGCCACATGCGCGAGCACAGGTGCCAGTCAGTCATAATCGCCGTGTGCCCCTGCCTGTCGTCCGCCTCGTCCAGCCACCCCACCTCCTCCAGCACCGCCCTCCTCACCACCACCGGGTACCCTGTCACCAGCCCCGTGAAGTGCATTGGCACACCGCTCTCCGGGTCCTTCCAAGCCACCTTCCCCCCATCCCCTACTCCCTTCCCTCCCCCACTCCCGCCGCCCCCCCTCTCGCGCTCCTCTGCAAACCCCCTCCAGAACCGCACACTCTCCCCAGCAGCTGCCGTCTTCCCCACCTGGTCCACTCGCCGCACCGGCATGTCATCGGTGCGGTACCCCGCCAGTGCCAGGCGCGGCCACGCGGCGAAGGCGTCCAGCACGTCCTGCAGCCAGCGGCAGTCAGCGGGGGGCAGCGCGTCCCCGTGCAGCAGCACCAGCAGGCGCCCGCGCGCCATGCGCGCCAGGTCGTTCAGCATCAGGGGGTCGGCGCCCAAGCGCGGCAGCACGGGCACCACGAATATGCCCTCGTCCGTCTCGTTCCACATGTGCATCCACGCCTCCAGCGTCGCGTCGGGGTCCACCACGCTCACGAACAGCTCTGCGCGGATTCCCGGGAGCGCCCCCTCGCCGCGCATGCCCTTGGTGCACGCGTACAGGCGGTGCACTAGCGGTTTTACACGGTCGGCACGGCCGGTGTAAGTCAGGAGGAAGGAGAGGTTCGCCTTGGGGTCCGGGTAGTGCTCGGGCAGCTTCTGCCACACCTGCTTCGGGGCAACCAGCCCCGGTTTTGACTCGTACTCGGGGTAAATAGCCTCCCAGTCCACGCACTGTTCGGTGCATCCGGACGCGTTGGCAACAGCGGCGTATCGCTGGAGGAGAGCGCTCTGCTCCTCGGTCCAGTTGCCGTGGGGCAGGTGCAGCCCGCACTCCTCCCACAGCCGCACCTGCGTGGCGTTCAGGGTCGCCTCTGCTGCCATGGCGGCTGATGTGGCGGCTGCCAGCTCAGCGCGCTGCTGCTCCACGTGTGCGACAGCCTTGGGGTGGTCGGGGCCCTCCGAGTCGAACCAGGAGCGGAAGGGCAGGTACCAGAAGAGGAAGTCGGACAGCTTGGTCTTGTCTGTGAGAGGGATGGCGAGGGAAGAGAGAAGAGGGGAATGTGAGACACGACACGGCAGGAGGACGGGAGGGCAGGTGCCAGAAGAGAGACTGAGACAAGTGCCATCTAGTGTCGTGGCTTACCTTCCCTTCCCTTCCCACTGCCTTGTGTTGTGGGGAACGTACCAGAAGAGGAAGTAGAGTCGCGTCTGCCTCTGCACCCCGACACTCAAGCCCGGCCAGCCCAGCACGTCGTACAACCGGCTACACTCCTCACAGCCCTTCGCTCAGCCCATCCAGGCGTGTGCTGCCCTTCCTTCAACCATGCTCATAAGCTTCTCTCACTCCTTCTCGGCCGCGGTGCTCACCGCTGCCTGCTGCTGCCTCTTCACGCTCATAGCCCTCCCCACTTATCACTCTCCCTCACCAACGCTCCTCACCAACGCCCCTCACCAACGCCCCTCACCAACGCCCCTCACCAACGCCTTTGAGCCCCCCACTGGTGCGTGCTGCCATCCCATCCCATGCAGTGTGATGCGGCAGCACTCACCCTCGCCCCCAGCCAAGTCACCAGCCCCCTCCTCCTCATCAATGCTGAGCCCCTCCCACCACTCCCTGCTGCTCTACAGTCTCGCAACGACTCCTCAACACGTACAACCCACCTTCCCCGTCAGCCATGGTCTTGAGCTTCTCACTGGCCTCCTCTGCGGTGAGGTTGAGCACGGCCCACCACTCCCTGCGGTCGTCCAGGGCGCGCAGCTGCGCCAGCATGAACTGCCGCAGCTCCACCTCCCGGTCCGCCTGCTGTAGCAGCTGCGACGCTGGGGACAGGAGAGGGGGGGGAGAGCGAGCGGCAGAGGAGGTGGGGGGGAGGGGGAGACGGCATGAGCATGTGTCAGCATGGAGTGGCGCAGCTCCACCTGCTGCAACCGCTGGGAGGCTGGTGAGGGGAGAAGGGGAAGAGAGCAGTGCAAGTAAGAGAGGCAGAGGGAAGGAAGGCTCTCCTCAGCTGCGTGAGCATGATGTGGCGCAGCTCCACCTCCCTGTCCGCCTGCTGCTGCTGCTGCTGCTGGGACGGTGGGGAGAGGGAGGGGGGTTGCGAGGAAGAGGAGGGCAGCACAAGGGCGGCCATGAGGCAGCACGGAGGCTGCAATGCCAACTCCCTGCCCACTCCCTGCGCCTGCACCTCAGTTGCGGGGCAGCTTTTGAGTCGACTCAAAAGTCGCCTGCACCTCAGTTGCTGGGCAGCTTTTGAGTCGACTCAAAAGTCGCCTGCACCTCAGTTGCTGGGCAGCTTTTGAGTCGACTCAAAAGTCGCCTGCACCTCAGTTGCTGGGCAGCTTTTGAGTCGACTCAAAAGTCGCCTGCACCTCAGTTGCTGGGCAGCTTTTGAGTCGACTCAAAAGTCGCCTGCACCTCAGTTGCTGGGCAGCTTTTGAGTCGACTCAAAAGTCGCCTGCACCTCAGTTGCTGGGCAGCTTTTGAGTCGACTCAAAAAGTCGCCTGCACCTCAGTGCTGGGCAGCTTTTGAGTCGACTCAAAAGTCGCCTGCACCTCAGTTGCTGGGCAGCTTTTGAGTCGACTCAAAAGTCGCCTGCACCTCAGTTGCTGGGCAGCTTTGAGTCGACTCAAAAGTCGCCTGCACCTCAGTTGCTGGGCAGCTTTTGAGTCGACTCAAAAGTCGCCTGCACCTCAGTTGCTGGGCGAGCTGTGTGCAGTTTCTTTTGAGTCGACTCAAAAGTCGCCTGCCACCTCAGTTGCTGGGCAGCTTTTGAGTCGACTCAAAAGTCGCCTGCACCTCAGTTGCTGGGCAGCTTTTGAGTCGACTCAAAAGTCGCCTGCACCTCAGTTGCTGGAAGAGAGAGGCAGCACAAGGGCGGCCATGAGGCAGCACGGAGGCTGCAATGCCAACTCCCTGCCCACTCCCTGCGCCTGCACCTCAGTTGCGGGGCAGCTTTTGAGTCGACTCAAAAGTCGCCTGCACCTCAGTTGCTGGGCAGCTTTTGAGTCGACTCAAAAGTCGCCTGCACCTCAGTTGCTGGGCAGCTTTTGAGTCGACTCAAAAGTCGCCTGCACCTCAGTTGCTGGGCAGCTTTTGAGTCGACTCAAAAGTCGCCTGCACCTCAGTTGCTGGGCAGCTTTTGAGTCGACTCAAAAGTCGCTGCACCTCAGTTGCGGTGGGCAGCTTTTGGAGTCGACTCAAAAGTCGCCTGCACCTCAGTTGCTGGGCAGCTTTTGAGGTCGACTCAAAAGTCGCCCTGCACCTCAGTTGCTGGGGCAGCTTTTGAGTCGACTCAAAAGTCGCCTGCACCTCAGTTGCTGGGCAGCTTTTGAGTCGACTCAAAAGTCGCCTGCACTCAGTTGCTGGGCAGCTTTTGAGTCGACTCAAAAGTCGCCTGCACCTCAGTTGCTGGGCAGCTTTTGAGTCGACTCAAAAGTCGCCTGCACCTCAGTTGCTGGGCAGCTTTTGAGTCGACTCAAAAGTCGCCTGCACCTCAGTTGCTGGGCAGCTTTTGAGTCGACTCAAAAGTCGCCTGCACCTCAGTTGCTGGGCAGCTTTTGAGTCGACTCAAAAGTCGCCTGCACCTCAGTTGCTGGGCAGCTTTTGAGTCGACTCAAAAGTCGCCTGCACCTCAGTTGGGGCAGCTTTTGAGTCGACTCAAAAGTCGCCTGCACCTCAGTTGCTGGGCAGCTTTTGAGTCGACTCAAAAGTCGCCTGCACCTCAGTTGCTGGGCAGCTTTTGAGTCGACTCAAAAGTCGCCTGCACCTCAGTTGCTGGGCAGCTTTTGAGTCGACTCAAAAGTCGCCTGCACCTCAGTTGCGGGGCAGCTTTTGAGTCGACTCAAAAGTCGCCTGCACCTCAGTTGCTGGGCAGCTTTTGAGTCGACTCAAAAGTCGCCTGCACCTCAGTTGCTGGGCAGCTTTTGAGTCGACTCAAAAGTCGCCTGCACCTCAGTTGCTGGGCAGCTTTTGAGTCGACTCAAAAGTCGCCTGCACCTCAGTTGCTGGGCAGCTTTTGAGTCGACTCAAAAGTCGCCTGCACCTCAGTTGCTGGGCAGCTTTTGAGTCGACTCAAAAGTCGCCTGCACCTCAGTTGCGGGGCAGCTTTTGAGTCGACTCAAAAGTCGCCTGCACCTCAGTTGCTGGGCAGCTTTTGAGTCGACTCAAAAGTCGCCTGCACCTCAGTTGCGGGGCAGCTTTTGAGTCGACTCAAAAGTCGCCTGCACCTCAGTTGCTGGGCAGCTTTTGAGTCGACTCAAAAGTCGCCTGCACCTCAGTTGCTGGGCAGCTTTTGAGTCGACTCAAAAGTCGCCTGCACCTCAGTTGCTGGGCAGCTTTTGAGTCGACTCAAAAGTCGCCTGCACCTCAGTTGCTGGGCAGCTTTTGAGTCGACTCAAAAGTCGCCTGCACCTCAGTTGCTGGGCAGCTTTTGAGTCGACTCAAAAGTCGCCTGCACCTCAGTTGCTGGGCAGCTTTTGAGTCGACTCAAAAGTCGCCTGCACCTCAGTTGCTGGGCAGCTTTTGAGTCGACTCAAAAGTCGCCTGCACCTCAGTTGCTGGGCAGCTTTTGAGTCGACTCAAAAGTCGCCTGCACCTCAGTTGCTGGGCAGCTTTTGAGTCGACTCAAAAGTCGCCTGCACCTCAGTTGCTGGGCAGCTTTTGAGTCGACTCAAAAGTCCTGCACCTCAGTTGCTGGCAGCTTTTTGATCGACTCAAAAAGTCGCCTGCACCCTCAGTTGCGGGGCAGCGCCACGGGGCAGCGGGACGGGCTTGGAAGAGGTGGCGCGGGGAGGGAGGTTGCGCGCCTGCCAGCATGCACTGCCGCAGCCCTGGCACCCCCTCAGCCTGCTGCTGCTGCTGCTGTGAGCGGTTAGCCGGGGAAGGGATTGGTAGGGGAAGACAGAGGGGGCGCAGAGGAGAGTGAGCACGGGTCAGCATGAGCCTGCCCGACTCTACTTCCAGCTATAGTACAATGCGCACCCTCTCGCTTGGTTCTAACCACTTACTCAAAGCTTTAAACAGATTAGGATAGAAGCATAGCAACTCAGTGCACTCCTACCTGACTACAATCGCACCTGCAAAGCACCTCATAGCCCCCCAAATCTCTCCGCTTCCCCAATGACACTTGTGAACCCCCCACCCTTCCTTCCCATCCCCGCCCCTCTCCCCCCCCCCGCGCACCTATGTGGAACTGCGTCTGCTGCGCGTCCGCCAGGAAGTAGAGGTCCATGCACGACCCCACCGCCTCCTCCACACTCGCCAACGCAGCTCCTGCTTCTCCCGCCCCCTCCACAATCTCAGATGCGCCTGCTGCTGCTCGCACCTTGCTCTCTCCCTCCACCTCACTGCCCCCACCACCGCCCTCCAGCACGTCCCCCTCCCCCACGTCCACCTCCCCAACGTTTACACGTGGTGCAGCTGCCAGCATGGCGTGGATCTGCGCAAGGCTGTCGCTGCCAGGTGGCAGCGCGGCAACGGCTGAAGCCGCCGCCTCGTCCAGGAGGGGGATGCTCTCCCCCAGGGATGAGCGGTCGGCGCGCAGTTGCTGCACGGGGTGGTGAGAAGGGCGGTTAGGGGTGAGGGAGGGGTGCGGGTTGGCGGGTGAGGGGGTGAAACAACGGGCATGGAATTGCATTGGAATGAGCGGCCGAGCTGCAGTTGCTGTGACACTTGAAGACTGTGGGAGGGTGCTGAGGGAGGGGAGTGGTCATTGGAATGGGGGCTGAGGAGCAAGGGTAGGAGTGGGAATGGTTTGGGCTTGACATTGACACGGGTGGTGGTGGTGGGTGGTGGTGGTGGTGGTGGTGGTGGTGGTGGTGGTGGTGGTGGTGGTGGGGTGGTGGTGGTGGGGTGGTGGGGTGGTGGTGGTGGGTGGTGGTGGGTGGTGGTGGTGGTGGGTGGTGGTGGTGGTGGTGGTGGTGGTGGTGGTGGTGTGGTGGTGGGTGGTGGTGGTGGTGGTGGTGGTGGTGGTGGTGGTGGTGATGGTGGTGGTGATGGGTGTAACGACACAGGAGGGCGTCACTGTGGTGCACGTGGAAAAGGAAGGTCCAAACAGGGCCTCCCTCTGCTCCCCTCCCCCCTCTCATTCCTCCTCTCCCCTCTCCCCCTTCTCCCCTCCCCCTCCCCCCTCCCCCCTCCCCCCTCGTCCCTCCCCCCTCCCCCACACCCCCTCCCCCACCTGCAGGGCGTCCCTGGCAGCGCCGTCCATCCAGCGCTGCTCGCTCTCCGCCCGCGCCCTCATCTCCTGCACCCGCCGCTGCAGCGCCCTGCTGTGCGCCGCTAGCAGCGCCACCACGGGGGAGCTGGGGGAACAGGGGGGAAGGCGAGAAGGAATGAAGGGGAGGGAGAGGGGAAGGGGAAAATGTTTGCTTTCCACCCACCGTGCCATAACTCATGTTCACGTGCACGACTTGCAGCCGCACGTAGCAGTGGTGGCAGGAGTGGCCGTGCCGGTCTTGAGACGGACCCACCTGTCACCTAGTGCAGGATAAAGCGTTGCATCCTCCTCGCCCTTCACTCCCCCTGCCTCCCCCTCTCTCCCCGCCCCCTCATCTCTCCCCTTCTCCGCTGCCAGTGCAAACAGGTCCGCCCGCCCCACTTCCCCTGCCCCACTCCGCCCTCCCCCCCTTCCCCCTCCCCTCCCAGAAGGTCATCAGACGTCCACGCGCCTAGCTCCGCTCCCCCCTCATTCCCGTCTTCCTCTCCCCAGCTCCCCCCGCCTCTTCCGCTAGCGGAGACAAATGCGGAGAGGACGGAGGCGGAGGGGGAGGAGACGGCGGCGTAGAGGCAGGCGAGCGCAAGAGCGGCGGAGAGTCCCAGGACGGCGCGCAGCCAGGGGGAAGCGGGGAGTTGCATTGCGGCGGAAGTGCGCAGCTAAGGGAAGGCGGAGGGAGGCATGGCGGAAGACTTGGCGGGGGGGGGAGTGGTGCGGACAGCGCGCGACTAGGGGGAGAGCGAGCAATGCGGGAAGAGCCCGCGACTAGGGAGGGGTCGTTGGCAGGGGCTTAGTGCGAGTTAGGGGGAAGCCGAGAGGGGTCTGGCGGGAAGAGCGCGCGGTGAGGGGGAGGCGGGCAGTGGCATGGCGGAGAGGCGCACGGCGGAGAGCGCACGGCGGAGAGCGCACGGCGGAGAGGCACACATCGGGGATCAGGCATGGGGCATGGCGCGAAAAGTTCGGGTGGTGAGATGGTGGGATAGTCTCTGGTTGGTGGCACGGGAAAGAGTGACTTGCCGGGTCTGATTTGAAGAGCGGCAGCAACGGTCGCCGCTGCCGCCCACCGAAACAGAGGGCTGCTGGTGCCGCGCCATGAAAGCGAGGAAGACTGTCACATGCAGCGGAAGAAAATCGAAGGAAAAACGGTAAACGGGTCGAAAAATGTGGAGAAGTGGGGTATCGATCCCCACACCTCTCGCATGCTAAGCGAGCGCTCTACCATCTGAGCTACATCCCCATACTCTTTTCATGTCATGAAATAATTTGGTCTGTTTAAACATTTGACTCAGATCAGCACTGTCATCAACATCCATCATCCCACCCCCATGCGGGCCCTCGCATCGCCGCTGGCGCGCCTCGCCTCCCTCACACTCGCCTCCGCCACGCGCGCTCACCCGCACTGCCACGTCAGCAGCACTCGCTTCAACCGCCTTTCAACCCTCGCTTGCCCCGCCGCGCGCCACTCAGCGCACGCACTCCCCGCCGCACTCTCCGCCGCATTCAGCGGCTCGTCCTCTCTGGCGTCGTCACCTCCCCCGTCCGCCGACGACTCCCCGGCGCGGAAGCGAGCCAAGATGGCGGCAGCGGGAGATGCGGCGGCAGATGCGGCAGCTACAGGGAGCGGGTCAGCGGCGGGTGCGAGGCGCATCGGGACGCACAGCGGGACGTTCCACTGCGACGAGGCGATGGGTTGCTTCCTGCTGAGACGCACGGAGAAGTTCAAAGACGCGGATGTGACTAGAACGAGGGACGAGAAGGTGGGATGAAATCGATGGAGGATTACAGCGCGGATTAGCCAGCTGCGAACGAGAGCCCGGGGATGTGCCAGAACGAGTGATCGCCGCGGTTTGGTGATCTCTCTACCACGTGTCAGATGCCCATTGGTGGAGCGCTTAGGCTCTGATCGACCCCTCCCCACCTGCCATCCCTCTCCCCCCTCCCCCACGGCCCATCCACCACCGGGCTTCATCGCGTCCTCCGATTCCCCCTCCCCCCAACTCCACGCCGCCCCGCCCCACATCCCTCGCGCTCAGGTCCGTGCCGCGGGCGTTCGACGACTTTTGAGGCGCCTCAAAAGACATCCCTCGCGCTCAGGTCCGTGCCGCGGGCGTTCGACGACTTTTGAGGCGCCTCAAAAGACATCCCTCGCGCTCAGGTCCGTGCCGCGGGCGTTCGACGACTTTTGAGGCGCCTCAAAAGACATCCCTCGCGCTCAGGTCCGTGCCGCGGGCGTTCGACGACTTTTGAGGCGCCTCAAAAGACATCCCTCGCGCTCAGGTCCGTGCCGCGGGCGTTCGACGACTTTTGAGGCGCCTCAAAAGACATCCCTCGCGCTCAGGTCCGTGCCGCGGGCGTTCGACGACTTTTGAGGCGCCTCAAAAGACATCCCTCGCGCTCAGGTCCGTGCCGCGGGCGTTCGACGACTTTTGAGGCGCCTCAAAAGACATCCCTCGCGCTCAGGTCCGTGCCGCGGGCGTTCGACGACTTTTGAGGCGCCTCAAAAGACATCCCTCGCGCTCAGGTCCGTGCCGCGGGCGTTCGACGACTTTTGAGGCGCCTCAAAAGACATCCCTCGCGCTCAGGTCCGTGCCGCGGGCGTTCGACGACTTTTGAGGCGCCTCAAAAGACATCCCTCGCGCTCAGGTCCGGGCCGCTGGCGTTCGACGGCCACCAGCGCCGGGACTTGACTGTCGTCGCCCTTCCTCCCGCCACCCCTCCCCGCCTCGCAGGTCGTCTTCATGCTGAACTTGGCGATCCACGTGGCACGCGAGGACGACCTGTCAACCGCCCTTCAGCGCTAGCCAGCACTGTGCCCTCCATCTCACCCCCGTCGTTCTGTCGCAAAACCCCTTTCCACCGTTTCAGATCCTCTCCAACCAACCTCGATGCAGTGATCGACGTGAGCGGCGTGTGTACGACCGGCCACCGACCCGGCAAGGGGCCGTTGAAGGAACCGCCAGGGCTTGATTCAATTCCTCTCACCCTCTCTGCCGCGTCTCAGGTCCTCTCGACGCTGGGCGCGGTATGGGCGGGGGGGCCTTGGACGGCACCTCAATTGCTCGCCAGAACCACTGTGAAGGTGCGGTGAGGCGGCGCCCGCACTCCCACCCGTGCCTCCCTTTCAGACCCTCGCCACGCTGGACGCGGTGATCGACGTGGGCGGCGTGTACGACCCTGCAACGGACCGCTACGACCACCACCAGAAGGACTTCAAGGAGGTGTTCGGCCACGGCTTCAGCACCAAGCTCAGCAGCGCGGGGCTCGTGTACAAGGTGCGGGGTACAGGGTTTAGGGTACAGCGTGTGCACTGTGCAGGTTTAGGGTTTCGGGTGCGACCAACACACCACGGGAGGGGCTTGAACGTGGTGCTCGGACACTGGTTTGTTCGCCACCAAGCGCAGCAGCGCGGGAGTCGTAAGGTGAGCAAAGGTGCGCGGCTTGGGGAGTACCGGGTGTGGGGTTTGGGGTACAACGGCCTGCTGAGGGGCTTTCACAACGTGGCAGGGCAGGCTTGGTTGGATCGAAGGGGCGTCCAGGGGGCTCAGTGACAAGAAGCAGAGCTGGCGGGGGGGGGTGGTGAGAGCAGCACGAAGTGTGAGCGGTTCCAGGCGCGTTGGGACGCACACCTGTTGCGAGTCGTTGCGTGATGAAGGGATGTGCGAGGGCTGAAAGGATGAAGGGACGTGCGAGGGCTGAAGGGATGAAGGGATGTGCGAGGGCTGAAGGGATGAAGGGATGTGCGAGGGCTGAAGGGATGAAGGGACGTGCGAGGGCTGAAGGGATGAAGGGACGTGCGAGGGAGGACCTTGAGCGATGCTCTTGTCACCTCATGCGTTGCCTTCTCGCACTCAAGGTGTCTCCCCCCGCCTCACCTGCTGTTGCTCTCCTCCCTCCCTCTCACCTCCCTCTCCCCTCCCTCTCCCCTCCCTCTCACCTCCCTCTCCCTCCCTCTCCCCTCCCTCTCCCCTCCCTCTCCCCTCCCTCTCACCTCCCCCATCTTCAGAGCCGCTCCACACAGATGGCCCACCCACCTCCCTCTCTCACCCTCTCTTCTCCCCCCCCCCATCGCGCAGCACTACGGCGAGGAGGTGGTGGCGGCGCTCATGGGGCTGCCCAAGGACCATGCGCATGTGCGCAAGGTGTACCTCGCTGTCTACCGCTCCTTCATGGAGGTAATGAGAGGGCTTGTAACGAGGATAAGTAGTTATGCTTTGCAGTTCGCCACTCCTTCATGCAGGTGAATGCTTATAACGAGGACAGCGTGAAGAAGGATTACACGTTTTTTGTGTGATCATTAGCAGCCATATCTTAGCTGTGTGAAGTGCTGTGCGGTGTGGTGCTGAGTTGACTCCCCTGCTCCTCAGTCCCCTCATGCCTCCCCTCGGCCCCTCATGCCTCCCCTCGGCCCCTCATGCCTCCCCTCGGCCCCTCATGCCTCCCCTCGGCCCTCATGCCTCCCCTCGCCCTCATGCCTCCCCTCGGCCCCTCATGCCTCCCCTCGGCCCCCCCCCCCCTCATGCCTCCCCTCGCCCCTCATGCCTCCCCTCGGCCCCTCATGCCTCCCCTCGGCCCCTCATGCCTCCCCTCGGCCCCTCATGCCTCCCCTCGGCCCCTCATGCCTCCCCTCGGCCCCTCATGCCTCCCCTCGGCCCCTCATGCCTCCCCTCGGCCCCTCATGCCTCCCCTCGGCCCCTCATGCCTCCCCTCGGCCCCTCATGCCTCCCCTCGGCCCCTCATGCCTCCCCTCGGCCCCCATGCTCCCCTCGCCCCTCATGCCTCCCCTCGGCCCCTCATGCCTCCCCTCGGCCCCTCATGCCTCCCCTCGGCCCCTCATGCCTCCCCTCGGCCCTCATGCCTCCCCTCGGCCCCTCATGCCTCCCCTCGGCCCCTCATGCCTCCCCTCGGCCCCTCATGCCTCCCTCGTCCCCTCATGCCTCCCCTCGGCCCCTCATGCCTCCCCTCGGCCCCTCATGCCTCCCCTCGGCCCCTCATGCCTCCCCTCGGCCCCTCATGCCTCCCCTCGGCCCCTCATGCCTCCCCTCGGCCCCTCATGCCTCCCCTCGGCCCCTCATGCCTCCCCTCGGCCCCTCATGCCTCCCTCGGCCCCTCATGCCTCCCCTCGGCCCCTCATGCTTCGCCATCATCTCGCTGCTCTCCCCCCTCTCCTCCCCTCCTATGACCTGGACGCCATCGCTTGCAGCATTCGTCACTTGGAGAGCGCCAGGCCTCCTCTCTGTGCACAACACGCACCAGCCCAGCGCCACTGACAGTGTCGTGAAACAGTTTGAGCGGGAGAAGCCCCCAACTACATGAACAAGCGCAGATCTACCAACAAGTTCTCCCTGTGATTGCCCACACCTGTAACAGGCTCTCGACGCCATTGACAACGGTGTGAAGCGAATTGAGTCAGACAAGCCTCCCCGCCATGTGAACAGCACGCCCCTGTCAGGCAGTTCCCTTCCCCCACTCTCCCACTCTCGCCCCCCCCCCTGCTTTTGCCAGGCCCTGGACGCGAATGACAACGGCATCAACCAGTTTGAGTCGGACAAGCCGCCGCGCTACGTGATCACGACGCACCTGCCGGCGCGCGTGGGGCGCTTCAACCCCGACTGGCTGGACCACTGTTCCAAGGACGGCGAGGACGCCGCGTTCCAGAAGGCCATGGCGCTCGCAGGGGAGGAGTTCGTGGAGGTGAGTCGTGCGGCACATGTGGTGAGAGAGGGGGTGAGGCAGGGAGGGAGAGGACCGCGAGGCGAGGGGGTGAGGAAGGAGGAAGAGGACATGTAGTGACTGCCAATCGCCCCTCTTCTTGTCTCATCTTGATCTCACACTCCCCTCCTTGCCTCCCTCTCCTGCCACCACTCTTCTCGGAGGCGGCCTGTACCACAGTGTGCAGCTGGCTACGAGCGCGAATCAGCCAACGCCCGTTCCTCCCCTCCCGGCCATCTCTGCCCTCTCTTGGCACACCTTTCTCCCCCACTCCGTGCTTCACACTGCCGCAGCTGCTCGCCAGTGTGCGCCCGTGCACGCCTGTGGTGGTGGCATGCCCCCCCTTGCCCACTTGCCTCCGTCTGCCGTCTGCTACCTCCCCTCGTGCCTCCCCCTCCCAGGCCGTGACGTACACGGCGCGGGGCTGGCTGCCGGCGTGCACCATAGTGGAGGACAGCATCGCGGCGGCCGTGGCGGAGCATGGCAACGCGGAGATCATCACTCTCAAGCAGTACTGCCCGGTGAGCGAGTGGGCTGCAATCTCCTTGGCTGGGGACATTGGGATGAGAGCGGGGCCATCGCGGGTGAAGCCTCTCTGTGATTGGTGCGCGGACTCGCAATCTATGCAGCACACGAGACGGCGAAATTGAGGCGGAGGCGGAATCAAAGTGGCCGGAGGTGGGGGCGTGAATTCGCCCATGCAGTGGAAACAAAATTCCAGTGGGGGTGGGGGGGAGGTGGAATCAAAATCTGGCAGGGCGGGGGTATGAAGATCAGGGGCTCATTAGGGGGTGGCTTATGGGATTTGCACACAACTCCACAGCCTTCCGTCATGTTCTCACCGGGTGGCGAGTTCTCTTCTCGCCTCTCGAGCACAGAACCACCGGGTTACCCTCGTTTCGATTGTTTACTGGTTGAGTGCAGGCAGTGAAATGTGCAGTGCAACCTCCAGAGGCATCAGCAGCAGCGGGTGAGGAATAGGAGCTTGCAGATCGAACACAGAACTGCGGACAGGCGCGAACACCAGGGATACTTAAGGAGGGGACACGGTTGCCATGCGACCTTGCGCATGCGAGCTCGCTGTAGCAGTAAAACTGGTTCACTGGAGCGTGCCACTCCTTCTTGCGAGTTCCCCTCGTGTGATCTCTGTATGTGTTCCATGTGTACGTGTGTCGTGTTCGTGTTGTCATCTCCGTGCAGTGGAAGGGCCATCTGAGTGAGTTGGAAGGGGAGTTGAAGCTCGACCCTCTGCCCAAATACATGCTGTATGAGGTGATGCCCTTGCGCACATCCATACCACTCCTACTCGTCGCATTACACACATCAATACTACTCCTCTTCCGCTTCCTCAAATGTGTTCATCTCCCGCTATGGCTATCCTCTCATCCTCTCATCCTCTCATCCTCTCATCCTCTCATCCTCTCCTCCTCTCCTCCTCTCCTCCTCTCGTCCTCTCATCCTCTCATCCTCTCCTCGTCTCGTCCTCTCGTCCTCTCGTCCTCTCATCCTCTCATCCTCTCCTCCTCTCGTCCTCTCCTCCTCTCCTCCTCTCATCCTCTCATCCTCTCATCCTCTCCTCCTCTCCTCCTCTCATCCTCTCATCCTCTCATCCTCTCATCCTCTCATCCTCTCCTCCTCTCCTCCTCTCATCCTCTCATCCTCTCATCCTCTCATCCTCTCGTCCTCTCGTCCTCTCGTCCTCTCCTCCTCTCGTCCTCTCGTCCTCTCGTCCTCTCATCCTCTCATCCTCTCCTCCTCTCGTCCTCTCGTCCTCTCATCCTCTCATCCTCTCATCCTCTCATCCTCTCATCCCCTCCTCCTCTCCTCCTCTCATCCTCTCATCCTCTCATCCTCTCGTCCTCTCATCCTCTCGTCCTCTCGTCCTCTCGTCCTCTCGTCCTCTCATCCTCTCATCCTCTCCTCCTCTCGTCCTCTCGTCCTCTCATCCTCTCATTTTCTCATCCTCTCATCCTCTCATCCTCTCATCCTCTCATCCTCTCCTCCTCTCCTCCTCTCGTCCTCTCATCCTCTCATCCTCTCATCCTCTCATCCTCTCATCCCCTCCTCCTCTCCTCCTCTCCTCCTCTCATCCTCTCATCCTCTCATCCTCTCATCCTCTCGTCCTCTCATCCTCTCCTCCTCTCGTCCTCTCATCCTCTCATCCTCTCCTCCTCTCATCCTCTCATCCTCTCATCCTCTCATCCTCTCATCCTCTCATCCTCTCATCCTCTCATCCTCTCCTCCTCTCGTCCTCTCGTCCTCTCGTCCTCTCATCCTCTCATCCTCTCCTCCTCTCCTCCTCTCCTCCTCTCCTCCTCTCCTCCTCTCATCCTCTCATCCTCTCATCCTCTCATCCTCTCATCCTCTCATCCTCTCATCCTCTCATCCTCTCATCCTCTCGTCCTCTCGTCCTCTCGTCCTCTCCTCCTCTCGTCCTCTCGTCCTCTCGTCCTCTCATCCTCTCCTCCTCTCGTCCTCTCGTCCTCTCATCCTCTCATCCTCTCATCCTCTCATCCTCTCATCCTCTCATCCTCTCATCCTCTCATCCTCTCCTCCTCTCCTCCTCTCGTCCTCTCATCCTCTCATCCTCTCATCCTCTCATCCTCTCATCCCCTCATCCCCTCCTCCTCTCCTCCTCTCATCCTCTCATCCTCTCATCCTCTCATCCTCTCGTCCTCTCATCCTCTCCTCCTCTCGTCCTCTCATCCTCTCATCCTCTCATCCTCTCATCCTCTCATCCTCTCATCCTCTCATCCTCTCCTCCTCTCATCCTCTCATCCTCTCATCCTCTCATCCTCTCGTCCTCTCATCCTCGCACCTGTCTGCCAATGGCTGCGCTCGAGCCTCTCTCCTCTCTCGTGCACTGACCGCGCCCACAGGCCTCGTCTGCCTCTCTGCACCCTACGCTCGAGCCTCTCTCCTCTCTCGTGCGGCTGTGTCTTGCCTCTCCCCCTTTTTGCCATTCCCTCTCGTGACCTCGTCATCTCAACTCCCTTCCCTTCCCCACGCAGGACGACCGCGCAAAGCAGTGGCGGGTGCAGGCGATATCCGTGGCGCCGGGCAGCTTTGAGAGCCGCTGCCCGCTTCCCCTGGAGTGGAGGAGCTTAAGGGATGACGAGCTGTCGCAGCGGTCGGGCATCCCGGGCGGCGTGTTCGTGCACAACAGCGGGTTCATCGGCGGCAACCTCACGTACGAAGGGGTGCTCGCCATGGCCAAGGCTGGCCTCGCTGCTGCTGCTGCCGAAGCTGCCTCCAAGGCTGCTGCCGAAGCTGTGGCCAAGGCTACTGTTGCTGCTTCCTAGAGACATGTGCCACTGCCAATGCCAAGGGCTGCTGCGTTAGTTGCATTCCTGTGCAGCCGTGCAGTCCAACTTACTGCCCGCCCATGCGTGGTCGTGCAGTATCCGCTTGTACAGCCTGGGGACAGCTGGAGTGGGTTTTGAACTTTTGACGCTCCTCAGATGCTGCTGTGCTTACTCTGCGGAGCACTGATACAGGTGCGCTACTGATGGTCACTGAGTTACCCCTGAGTTGCAGAATGAGACACCAAATGCAGTTACCTTGCCTGAATTCACGGTGGCTGGTGACATGTTAAAGCCGCTGTCCAAGATTGAAAAAAACCCGAAACCCGTAGAGGTAGTTGGGTGTTTGCGAGTTTAGCGAGGTGGTATGGAATGAACGAAGCACGTGATTGGGTGGGAATTTTGTGGCTTCGCCACGGTGTAATTTGATTTTGGCCTTCCCGGTGGGTCCGAGGTGGATGTTGCGGGCTAGGGGGGAAAGGCAGGGGGAGTTTTGTGGGCGGGGTGTGGAAAACATTTTGAAACCTAGAGCTGGCGGAAATTACTGGGCCCCGAGGCGGAATCGAAATCGCCCCTTGGGTATATTCCAGCTCGAAAACGCAGTGGCGGGAGTGGGGGAAGTGGGAAAGTGAGGGCGGGGTGGGGCCTGGGGGGGGAAACGAAATGGGCTCGGGGGAAGGAAACAAGGCGAGGGGAATAAACGCACAGGGAGCAGAGTGACAGTTTTCGAGGTTTGCAGTGCACCATTCTGGTTCAAAGTTTTTGCACGGCTTTTGGCGAGCTCTTGCCTAGCCAGCACTGCCTCACCAGGTAACCTAGCCTTTCAACTTACGGTATAAACAATTGAACCTTGCTGGCTATATTTGTACCGCGGCTTTAATTAGTACCGCTTGGAATGGCAAAATCCGTGGCAAGGCCAGTCCCTCATTCATTGGGCAGTGAGCGAGAAAAATCTGTGAATCAACAATATACTACTCCTACCCCACCATTCCCCATCCAAATTAGTGTACTATGATCTTACATACAGGCAGCCGTGAACTACCTGCTGCTAGCGCTGGCCGTTCGAGCAATCACGGTAGGTTTTATCTCTAAAGGCTGCTGCCTGTGCTGCGGGTCATTGCTGCTGCACTGCTGTGCTGGACGGTGGTGAGGCGCCTTGCTGTGGCGCCGAGGCGGTGGGTTGAGGGGCGTTGGCGCTGGCAGGGGCAGCACACACCCGCAGCACCTGCTCCACCTGCAGGTGAACAGGAGGGGGAGAGGGGGAGATGAGCGAGAGAGGAGAGAGAGAAACACGGGGGAGAGGCAGTTGGTTCCGTGGTGTGGCGTTGAGAGGGCAGCAGCACACCCGCAGCACCTATTCCACCTGCAGGTGAGGAGAGGTGGGGAGGAGGAGAGGAGGGCGCGAGGAGAGAGATACGGGGGAGATCAGAGGCGGTGGTACGAGTAGAGCCGTTGGGTGGGGCAGCACACACCCGTAGCACCTGCTCCACCTGCCGGTGAACAGGAGGGGGAGAGGGGGAGAGGAGCAAGAGAGGAGAGAGGGACATGGGGGAGATCAGAGAGACGGTGGGTTGAGCGGCACTGGCCCGGGCAGCACACACCTGCTCCACCTGCTCGTGAGCCGGAGAGCGGGAGCAGCGGGAGGGGAGGGGAGGGGAGGGAGGAGAGGGGAGGGGCGCCGTCAGAATGGAAAGAGAGAGAGGGAACGAGGGAGCAGAGGAGCGTACACTCCGTGATAGCGGCTACACATTGGTTCTCCTCTCGCCTCGCTCTGTGTGGCGGCGGCACCTCTGTTTGGCCAGCAGGCACTGCGCGCATGGCTGCCACGTGGAGTGCAAAGCGGACGGGTCCAGGCGGGTCCGTGGCGCAATGGAAGTGACGGGGAAAGCGGGTGACTCTAGTCATTATGAGACGGGGGCTTTAATTGGTTGGGTAGTGGAGGGAAGGGGAGACGCGGGGGATAGGGGGAGGGAGGATTGGCTGTCTGGGAAATGTCAAGGCGCCGGCAAGAGAGGAAGCGCGGGGAGCAAAGCGGAGGACGACTTTACTGGCGCCTCAAACATCGTCTCAAACGTCCTGCCATCACAGGCGGACGGCGCAATCCGCGCGATGCACGCCCGTGCGCATTGGAGGCACGCCAGGATCTCCCTCCACCCAATATCCCAAGGGTCTTGTGGGATTCCAAGGGGCTTAGCTCTCGCACACATTCATCGCACCTGTCTGATGCGCTCGTGGCGCGTCTTGGCGTTGGCGCGCCGCGTGTGGTTCATGGGGTGGCGCTTCCACACGAGCCCGCCCGTCGCCTTGAACACCTGCAGCGCCACGCGCGTCGCCTCGCCCACAGCCATTGCAGCGACGCACGCCGGGGGTCGCGCGGATATCGGTGGTTCGGGGATTTCCAGCCGAGATCCGTCGACCTCAGGGAAGCCCTCTGCAACGGTAAAATCAGCGCGCTCTGGGCCTGACTGCTGACGGTCTGACTCGAGCGGCTCGTGGGGTGGACGGTGTGACTAATACGGGCGCTGGGAAAACGGGAGGAAAGTGGAACGGTGCCTGGTGTCAGAGGAGGCAACTGCGAATTCGCTGTCAAGCGATGCGTTAAGAACAATGTCGAAGTGTCGGAATGAAGCTGGGCTAGTACGATTAGTTGGAAAACTACATTCTGTTGTACATAGCAATTTCTCTTCGAATCAAACCACCCACATATTCTTCCCATAAACACTTACCTCTAAGACTCTCAGAAGGAAGTCGAATGTTTACATTGTGTGATTAGTAACAAGTGCACACAATCAGTGCAACTGACTTGGGAATGCAGCTTTGCTAAGAATCTAGACAAATGCTTTTGCATTACAGCACCTATTTTTCAATCCAGCTGGATCATATGCCAACCTGGCGCAATGCCTTATGCCGACCCTCTGTGCACCCTGCTGCTGCACCCCCCTGCCCTCACCTGCCTCTTATGCGCCAAACCCTCACTCTTCCCGGCCAACTGCTTCACCCCCTCCCTGCCACACACATCACTTGCCACTGCTCTGCCACCGCCCCTCCCACCTGCTGCCTTCACAGCAGCCTGCCTTCCACCTGCTGCCCTGCCTGCTGCTCTCTCCCCACACCCACCCCCCTCTCCCCGCTTTGCCCCACTCGCTTGGCTGTTGCTGGTCTTGCCAGCCATGCCTCGCATGCTAGCAGATGGTGCAGCTGGTACAGAAACCTTTGCTGGTGATGATGCACCAGCCAGTAAATTCGTTACTGTCGCTGCAGCAGATGGTGCTTCCGACTCTGCTACGGTTGCTGCTGCTGCTACAGCTGCTGCAGTGAACCGGAAGCCACGTTTGTGCGTTTCAGCTTAGCTACCGCATCAGCATACTTCGCCCCGATCCAGGCTGGCATTGCTGCTTTCGCCTTCTCAATATCCACAGCCTGTATCTCCTTGAGGTGCTTCTCCCACCTCCCTCTCTCCTCCTCACTTATGCCGGTTGGGAAAAAAAAAACTTATGGTACATTTAGGCTCCTAACAGGAGCAGCTCTGCTCATAATGCCACGGAACAGAGCCCATCCTCTAAGGGCCAATTCCCTTGAATACAGATTTCTTGCCACCCCTTCCTCGGCAACCCGATCTCAGTGGGCCGACCGTGGGCGCATGCAGGTGCGCCGTACAGGGCTGCCTGGACTGTTTGTTTTGAGACCCCCGTAACACCAAGATCCAGTACCGCTGTTCCGCCTGCCATTGCTATGGCTGCTGCTGCCGTTATTCTCACGATTGATATAAAACCAGATTGGCGAGTGGATGTTACTGCTGTAGTTGCTGTTGCTGCTGCTGCCATTTCCACCAGCCAGCGGAAACGAGGTTGGCGAGTGAGTGTGCAAGCATGGGACTGGTAATGTCGCCTGTTGCCACGGCCAGCACGCCATATAGGCACCCCACACACGACGCCCTGGGAAGGGTGATTGCAGGGAAAACATGAATGACACACCAAGTTGGAAGCAGGAACCCGATTGGTAAGTGCGTGCGCCAGCACAGAACCAGCTACGCCCCCTGTTGCCCCACTCTGAACATGCCACGGAGGCGATCAGAAAGAACCACTGGCAATGGCACCTGCGGCCACTACGACACGTCACAGAAGCACCCGCGTTTAAAAGATAGCCTTTAAACGCTAGCGTTTAAAACGCCAAACGCGTTTATTCCTACGTAGCCAAGGAGAAGGGATCAGAGTGAAGCACTGGCCACGCCGCCTGCTGCCACTGCTAGCTCGCCAGTCGGCCAATGAACAAGAGGGGCTTACCAGGAAGCAAAGGTGAGGTTGCGATCGCCAGTAACGTGCAACATGCCAAAGACACCGCCTGATACAATCACTCCCACTGCATTCACCCCCACCAGCGGCAAGAGAGCCCCGCGGAACAGCAGCTCCTGAGAAAAAAGAAGAAAAGGAGGTGGGGGGAGTGGGGAGGGGGATGAAGGGATAATTAATTTCAGTTACAGCGGAAGGGGCAAGAAATGTAGAGAATTTAAGGAGGCTTAATCTCTCCCGAGGCACAGCCCCTCCCTGACTACCTGGAAGGACGGAGACCCAGACGAGATCCGCATCAAGAGACTTGAGGTTGCCCTGGCGTTGGTATTTTAGGCACCTAAAATCACAGCTCGTACCTCAGATATCCCTGGAAGGACGGAGACCCAGATGAGATCCGTGGCGTTGAGGTTCGAGAGAGCCCGCACGTTGGACGCGTTGGTTGCAGCTGCGAAGGCCGGCAAGAGGCGGAGCAGGGCGAGACGCGCTGCAGAGACCACAGCCGCAGCTGCAAGGGTGAGCGGCAGGCTGGAGAGCGATAGGCCCACTGTATGCCGAAGGGGGAAGGAACCAGACAAGAGGGGAGATTGAGAGAAAGAGAGAGTACGGACCATTCGAGTAAGGGCAGTAGAGAATAAGCAGCACGCGAGGGAGAGATAAGTCAAGAACACAATGGCAGCAGCTGAGAGGGAAGTTGGCAGGCATGAGAAGAGGGAGAGAGAGAGAGAGATGCACTGTGAGTGAGTCATGGGGAGCGAGTGGGGAGGTGGAGGGGAGAGGGAGCAGTGCAGTAGAGGGAAGGTGAGAGGTGTAGTGAGCTGAGGTGGGCAGCAGAGACAATGGCAGCAGCTGAGAGGGCGAGAAGGCTGGAAGGGGGAACCGAGAGATCCACTGTGAGTGATGGGGGAGTGGAAGGGGGGGGAGGGGAAGTCGAAGAGGGGAAATTGTGTGGGGGGGATAGAGGGAGGGTGAGAGGCCGCGTAAGGTAAGGCCGGTAAGGTAAGGGCGGCATGCACGACGATTGCAGTGGCTGGGAGGGCGAGAGGGAGGCTGGAGGTCTGAGAGGTGCACTGTGTGTGATGCAGTATGGGACTCCTTTGTTAAGAGGGCATGAGAGAAAATGGAGAGATTTAGATGAACGAGAGGTGCAGGAGGGAGAGACCAGCCGGCGCGACCACGGAACGGTTGCAAGGGGGAGAGAGCGAGAGTGGGTGGGGGGAAGGCAGCCAGATTCTGAGACGTCCCAAACAGAACTAGGGAGAGACAGGCCGGCGCGACTGGAGAGCGGCTGCAATGGGGCTAGCGGGTCAAGTGAGTGCTATGGGAGTGGGGGGTGGGGGAGTGTGGGAGGAAAGTAGGCGAGAGTGCAGGCGGGAGAGGTGATAAGCAAATATGATGGCAGGGGCTAGGACGAAGAGAGGCAGGCAGGACGAGAGAGCGGACATGTGCCCTGCTCGCTGTAGGGGAGGGTGGCAGAAAAGAGGGGAGCGAGTGGGGGGTGGAGAGAGCATGGTGCAGGAGAGGGTAGAGTGGCGGGGCAGTCTAGAAGCTCATTGCAGTGTGCGGGG